TTCCCTCCACAGCTGCCAGAACGGTGGGCTTTATTGTAATGCCTTTGTTCCTCTGCAGGTCTTCAGGATGCGGGCCCACACCGCCCTTTCAGACCCAAGGTGTGTATTTGTGTAAAAACAGTCTTCAGGTTGTGTTTATGTATTTATAACATTTTAATGCCTCCTCTCCATGAACCTGCCCAAGGTGGCTTCCAAAACACAAATTGTCCAAGGCCATAAAGGGCTTTGGAGGTAACAAAAAGTCCCTTGGGTTGAACCTGGTAACTGATCGGTAACCAAGGGAGTGGCTGCAGAATCAGTGTGATATGCACTTTCTGCCTAAGGCCAAGCAGGATCCAAGCTGTGGCATGCTGTACTAGCTGGAGTTTCCTGAAGGGTGCCCCTGTAGCATCAGTTTATGGAGGTATTTATTCAGGAGATGCCTCTTCTCTAGAAGCCACATGTCTCTCTTCTCTTCGACCAGAGTCTCTCTTGCCACAAAGGAGGAAGGACAACTTGGTGACTCCCCATCTGTTAACTCTTAAATGCCTCAGAACTCACTGAGCACCTTAAAAAAAAAGAGAGGAACCCAGCCAGTCTGTGTTCCACAACTAGTTAAGTTGAGCACCACCACTAGTTAAGGCTGGGTCCATAACCTCTTGGGAGTAGCTGGCTAGTTAGTTCACTATCCCATCTCAGCTTAGCAGAGTGCACCGTGGCTGCATGCAGTAGAAGCTCTTTGTCCTCAATGTGCTGGCAGAGTGACAAAGTTACACAGAGCCACTTTTCAGTTTCAAGACTAATTGTCGTCCTTTTATCTAGGAACTACATTCTAGACAGAGACAGAACTAACCCTAAACTACCTTGGGTGGGTCCGGATGCAGAGAGGCATCCAGCCTCCATTGTGGATGGGTGTGAGAGAAACCCCACAGTTTACTTCTTGTTTGCCCACTGGGCAGTCAAGCAACGGCAGGCAGCAGGGGGCTCTGCGACCTTCTCCAGCACCTGTCCAGTGCCCACGGAGAACGTCTCAGTCGCTGACATCAAGAACATATTTCCTGAGGATGAAGACCCTGCCCAGGTCAAGCTGCAGAGGTCCGTGGGCCTCTCGTGAGCCAGGTGCCTCTGTCCTCTGTGTTGCCCAGCTGCGGCCTGTTTGGTTGGTAGCCCAACGCAGCCCCCTCCCAGGGGGCTCTTATGTTCTTAATTTATGCACCAACCAATTCACTTGCTCACAAGTTTAATGCCAGTAGCTCACAAAGTAGTATTTTTGCTCACAAGACTCCACAGCTTAGACTGAACATGGCTTACCGGCCACCTGATCCAATCTCAGCTCTGCATATGCATCTTGGGTCTGAGTGGCCCCTCCTAACGGCTGCCTCCCCCCCCTGCTTTTCCTGTAAACAGCCCTTGAGGAGATTTTATTCCAATTTGTCTGAAGAAGTATGCTTTGGGAAGGGTTATGGGCCCAGCCTTAACTAGTTGTGATGTTCAGCTTAACTAGCTGTGGTACCTAGACTGGCTGGTTTCCTTTGTGTGCGTGTGTGTGCTCAGTGAGTTTTCTCATTATGCTTGAGCTCTTACAGAGGCCTGGTTGGCATCTAGAAGACCCCATTAGGGTGGGAAGGTGACATAAAAATGCTTCAAATGAATAAAGGGAGGGGCCTGGCTGTGGCAGCGCTCCAGGCAGGCCTGCCCCTTCCAGCTCTCCCTGCGATGGCTGCACCCACCTGGGAAGATCTGACAGGAGTGGTCCTGCTCTCCCCTGGAAAAGGAGGTCTCATATGGGAAGGTTGTGACCAGCACCTCCCCTCCTGCAGAAGAACCAAGACTCCCCCCCACACCTGAGCAGCAGCAGCAGCACCCCTCCCCAGCTACAACAGAGAACAATGAGAAGGCTGGAAAAGCAGGGGACGTCTCTGAGAGGTGGCTCCGAATGCGAAAGGATTTGCACCAGAGTGTGGCTATGAAAATGCGATGTGAGGTGTCATCATGACAATCAATGAACACAAATCTGACATAAGAAATCACCACATCCAAAAACCATCCAGGGAAACTTTTGGTCACTCTGGACACACTATCACAGACTTGAAAGTCACTGTTCTGCCCCCCCCCCCAACAAAATTTAGAGGGAATCTACAGTGTGAAAGTGCTGAATTGGAACTCACCAAGAAATTAAACACTCCATGCCATCTTGGCTTAAACAGAGATTTGGATTTCTTTACTATGATCTCTAATAGCGTTACAGGGCCTTTCTTGAAATTTGAATTCGCAGTTCTTAACATGTTTTTATCAGACTATAACCTTTTATCTATATTGGGTTAATTTTCACTTAATCTATTTATCCTGCATCTTCAATCATACCTACCCTTTCTTCCCCAATGCCCCCCTTACCCTGAAAATTAACACTTGAAAGATTCATGGCAGAATTCGCACCAGCTGTCTCCCAAAAAGGGATTCGCTCAGGCAGGCTGAAGGGGGGGGGGGAATTAGGAACCCAGGGGGGTGTTGCTGTGGAATTCAATTGTTTGGGGGGGGGGTTGCTTTTATGGTCCCTGCCCGGCAGCATCCTGAAGCCTGAACATTCTTTGCCTGCCGGAAGTTCCACCGTATCTGGTTGGGGGAGGATCTGACGATCATAAAGACCTGAAAATCTGCTTTCCCCATCCTATTTTATTTTGTGACTTCTGGCCTGATGGGGAACTTGAGAGATTGTCCAGTTGTTGGGTATTACAAGTTGAAAACACTCAGTATATCTGGGGTTAAATGTTTGTTTATGTTACTCACAGGAAGTCACATGTTTCTCATGTCACCAATGTTCTTTAGCTGTAGAATACCTGGGAATTTTCTCCCTGATCTAGGAATTTGATTAGGACTAAAGTGTCAAAAGTGTATTACCATTTTATGGCTCTCTTCCCATCTTTGTTTGGTGTTCTGAAGAACAAGAAGGGTAGCCATAATCTCTCCTCTTCTAGTTTTGTCTTTGTAGAGTAAGGATGTAGCAGATTTTGCTCTGTTGTTATTTTCATCCCAGTTACCCTTCCCATGCTAGAATTTAGTAAAAACTGTATATTTTAATCACACATGGACTCTGAATTATTTTATTCCGGGACTTATCTCTGCTAAATATCTCACTATCACCCAACACCAGTGTTATGCGTAAAAGGTCCCCCATGGATTGCACTCTGCCCAGCTGCCCCTGGGGGAGGGGGGCTCTACATTTGCCCCCCACCCCACCCCACCCCAGTGGCCTCTGCCTGGATGGCTGCTGCAGCTGAGCATTCAGTGAAGCCGAGCCATTGTGCTCCCTGGGCTGCCTGAGCCGGAGACCCACCGGGGCCCCGAGGCACCGCCCCCCCAACCCCTCACCCTGTACAGCCTCCCAGGTGAGGCCCTGCGCAGTCCTCCAGGTCCAGTGGTGGCTGGGCACCAAGGCCTGCCTTTGGCTCTTGCGGTCACTCAAGCCCTTCAAATGGCCTCGTGTTGCCCTGCTTGTTACTGGAGGGGGGAGGAAGAGCAACGCGGGACAGAGACATCTGTGTCTTCCTGGCTTCCTTTATTTCTAGCCTCCTTGAGGCAGAGTACATGGTGTGAAACGAGGGAATCCAGTAGCATGAGACATGTCTAGTAAACAAAGCAAGAGGCCGAGGATTACAAAAACTAGGAATGAAACAAACTAGCCAAGAAGAGGCAGAAAACCGTCCCTTGCTGCAAAAGTGCCACGCCCATTTTACCTCCCCCTCCCCCACAGAGCCCTTGGCAATAACCACGAGTGGGGCCTCCTCACACTGCCCTGAGAGGCCGGTCAGGACGTCAATCCCCAGTTTACAGTTGGGGACACTGAGGCACACACAGGGGAGGGGGCGTGACTTTTTAAAAGCCACCCAAAAGACAGAGGAGCAGGATCCTGCCCTGAGGGTTCCCGATTGCTTTTCCTGCCCCCAGCACCCAAGACACGCAGCAGCAGGTGGCAGGTCAGGTAGACAGACGGACACCAGGTGCACCCTTCCTCACTGAACAGCTTCCTTAAACGCATGGGAAATGAGACGGGGGGGGGCTGGCCTCCCAGCTCTCAGATGGTGCCCCCCCACTTGCCTCCCGGAGCTGTGGGGCACCACGCAGTCTCTGATGGACTTTGGTTTCTTGAGTGGAACTAGCAAAAGATCATTTTTCTTTCTTTCTTTTAAAAAAAGGTATCTAGCCCTCCTGGTTTAAAAAGCGGAGGATGCCCATTCGCAATGGCTGTCAAGAGCGAGAAGTCCAGGAAGGCCAGGATCAGAGACCCACGACTCACCTCTCCCCATTCCTGACCTTTAAAAACGGAACACAAAATCCTAATTCTGAAAATGCCCCCAGGTGGGCTCCACATGCAAGCCGGGCAAAGGCCTCTGCGCCAAGGAGCTCTGCCTGGGCACGGTGGCCCCCTTCGGGGCGGGGGGCTCAAGGGAGGGGGGCTCTGAGCCCCCCAGGCCTCTGCAAGCCATGCTCACGGGCAGCACCCCCCCCCGTTGCCTGGCATCCCAAGTCCTTGAGGGTGGGGGGGCCTCTTGCCCGCCTGGCACTGCTACTGCCTCCTCCTTGCTCCAGGCAAGGCCCTTTCCGCAGGCCAGTCCCAGTCCCAGTTGGAAGCGGATCCGGAGGGCCAACAGGGACGCACCAGTGTAAGCAGCAGGGTGCCAGAAAGAAAACATGCGGGAGTTGGCATGGGGGCACAGCTGGGCAGCCTGGCAGAGAAGTGCCAAGCGACCCCGGTTCTGCTTTCTCCACGAGGCCCTGGGGTGGCCTCAAGGCACAAGGGCAAGGCCGGTGCTGGGCCAGGGGCCAGACCAGCGCCTGAGAAGGGCAAGGCTCCCTTGCAGTCCCCAGGGGGAGGGGAGGGGAGGGCATGCGGCCCCAGTCCCCACCCCACCTGGCCCTCCTGGCCCCACTGTGGCTCAGGACCTGCCCGAGCCCCCCCCCGCCGCCTTCCTCCTCTTTGTCCCAGAAGGGGCCAGAGGCAGGTGCCTTTCGCCTGCCCCCCCCCCCAGGCAGCGGGCAGCTCCCTGCCTGCCCACCCGCCTCCAGCCCAAAGTGTGCAGGCGCCTCTGCCAAGCGCGGCGGAAGCAGCAGCAGCAGCGTCGGTTACAGGCAGCTGTGTTATAGAGTCGTGTCTCAAGCATCAGGCGCTGGGGATACAGATCCGCCTGCCTTCCTCCTCCTCCTCCTCCGGGCCTGGCTCCCGGCGGCCCCCTTCCCCCGCCTCAGGCCTTGGGGGCAGATTTCTGGTCCGCTTTGGAACCGGCCAGCCCGTTCTCCGTGTTGTCGTTCCCGGAGGAGCTCACGAGGCACTCGTTGCTGTGGACAGAGAGGCGCAGAGAGAGGAGGAGGAAGAGGAGGAGGAGGAGGAGGAGGAGGGTCCGGCCGTCTGCTCCCAGGCCCCGTCCCGCCCCTCGCTCCCCGGGCGGTGACCCTCACTCACTTCTTCTCCTTCCTCTTCTTGAGAAGGAACAGGATGAGCTTCTTGAGCAGGAGGATGAGGACGAGGAGCCCGATGACGCCCCCCACCACCGCCGCGATGATCTTGGCCAGCGTGTTGTCCACCTTCACCACTGCGGGGGGGGCGGGGGCGGGGGCGGGGGAGAGGGGAGGTCAGGCTACCACCCCGCCCGCCCCCCCGGGGCCACTCACGCTCCACGACGACGGCCAGGGAGATGGTGGCGTTGTGCTCGGCCCCCTTCTCCTTGGGGTTCTTGACGGCGCACGTGTACTTCCCCGAGTCGCTGAAGTCGACGGACAGGAGGAGGATGGAGAGGTTGTACTCGCGGCTGTCCTTGTGGAGGGTCACCTCCGGCAGCTCCACCCGCGGGTTGCACAGCCGGCAGACGGGCCGCACGTTCTTGTTGCGCACCATCCCCGTGTACAGCTGGGGGGTGGGGGG